ACCAAACAAAATCGTATTATTCACGTGATAAAGAGGATTTCGTAAATTTATTAAATTTTGTTCTAAAATAATAAAATAGAACACCTATTTTTACTATTGTAAATTACTAGCGACATTTTTGCTGCTTCTGAATGGAACAACTATATTCTTTGTCATCACATCCAAAGATTTCTTCATATCAGTGTTTCTTGAATCAATTTATAATAAATACATTTCGAATGAATCTTTGTAAATTATGCAAGGAGTTTTGAGCTCGTAATTCAGTCATGTTCGTTACATTAACCATTTTGCAAGACTATATTGTTAAAGTTTCATTGACGAATGAAATTATTTAAATAAGTAAAATTTCACCCCACGTGACCGATAGCATTGAAACAGAAGTCACGTGAGGAGGAAAATTTTTGGTGATACTGGGGATTTAGGATAGAGATTGGTGTCTAGTATTTACACTGTCAATCAAATAGGTGAAAATATAGTTTATATTTGAGGGATAGGCAACGAAAAAATCATTTACAGTTGTCCTTACTTGTGATGCTTGTAGAATTTATTTTTTGGTAAATCCTGCTTCAAGTGAAATATACAGATGGACGTCAATATGCATCTTTAAAGGAAAAGGAATGAATCATAGTGAACAAATTCCATCTGGTGTGAAGGTTTGGTTTAGGAAAATGGGCGATGGGTGCCAAATTAATGGTTAAAACATCGATTATTTTAATGATGATCCAAGGATTCCAACTATGCTTGATTATGATTCTTATGAAATTCTTTTGTAAATTGTAGTATAGCAGGTACATTTGATGATTATAATGAAGGCTTAGTAATTTCAGATATCGATGAAGAAAGTCTGCAATGCAATGCAATGAAGAAGTTCGCGATGGATGAATTTCGTGATGATGTATTACGTGATGATTATGATATGCGCGATGATAATTATAGTAATAATTGTAAATAGTAATATCAAACTTAATAGTGTATATTATAATTCTTTTTAGCTTTACTTCAATAAATTTATAATATATTCAATACATTTTACAAGGTTTTTCGAAGGGTGCTAATTTTTGGTAATATTGAAATCAATGGGTATTTACTTTCTGAGGGATATATATATTTATATAATAATAACCACCAAGATAAAATTTTTTTTGGTTACAACGGTTTAAGAAAAAATTCTATACTATGGTTAAAAAATAACATTATCTCGCCTTGTAATTAATAAAAATAATTCAAGGTCATTAAGGTAGATTTATTAAAAATAAATAATACATTTTACTGAATCGGATAGGAAATTTTTTTTATTTTGAAAATTAAGTCCAAAACTATTTTACATCATGATTTTAAAAAGTTACAATTGTTATCAGTCAAAAACTTACTTTGATCATTTAATATTTGAGCTATCTTCATATATTATGAATTCTTTCTGTTCTTGGACCGAATAAGGATCTAAAACATATAATACAATAAATCAGGGTGTACATATAACTTTAATATATACCTTTAAACCCTGTTCGTTCCCAGAATAACTCATGAGAAATGAAATCCTTATTTCTAAAAGGATCGGGCTTTAATTTGTTTGTAATGTAAATAAATACCGATACATCAAAAAATCAAGTTCAAAATACCATTAACAAGCCGTCTATCATTTCCTTGATCAGAATTTTCTTCATTTGACTGTAATCGATATGATGATGTTTAACTATATCTTTACAGAACTAATAAAAATAAAAGGATCTGTGATCACCGATCCTTATTTAAGTCTAAAGATCAAATAAAAAAAATTTTAATAATCGTGTGAAGCGATGTAATTATAGTACTTGTTTATGTATATCATACCCTGCGTATTCAGGTTCATTATCTTCTCTAATTAACTCAATTTGTGCAATTTGTGACATATTTCCATGCCTTGTATCATGAAATTGAATGTGCCACTAAGGCAATAATAAATATTAAAGCCTATTAAAAATTTTTTAGAATAATCTGAAAGTATTCGCATTTTTATACTTACAAAATATTCACAGAACCGGCACTTTGCATCACAAAAATGAAAACCACCCTCTTCGTGTATATGTCCCCATCATGTTTAAAGTCATTTGGAGGAATTTTTTATTACATCTTTCACCTGATTGAATATACTAAAATAACATAAGAAGATTAAATATGTTTAATTCTTATTTCAACGTACAACTTGATTTATACCTTTGTAAATGTCACACGAGATCCTTCCATGGGTTCGGTCGTTATTTTACATATGCCAGATTCTTCACATAATTCTCGACACTGATGTTCATTCCTTAATTCATAAATGGTTATAATAAACTAATTTATTCGGAGAATACAAATTAACTATATTACTTACCCACAAAAATGATACACTTGCAAATCCCAGTGAAAATGATCATTGCTTTGGCATTTTTTTCGGCAATTCGGAATTGGACATTGGATTGAACAAAGTTCATTTTCACAACAATGTAAGTTATGCGATTCATCATGCGGTATAATACATTTATTAGGACAGTGATAATCACTTTTCTGTAAGGAACATGCCTTCCCACAATAATGACGTGACTATTGACATAAATGATTACCAACATGTCCAATTTCCTTTGAACTTACCAACAGGCAATTACCCTTATCAACAAGATCACACGGTTTACCACATGAATGTTTTACTTTGTTACAAACATGCTTTCCTTGATGTTCAACTTTGTACATGCTAATTTATTGTTATTAGTTTCAACAAATTGGCAAAAAGAATGACATTTATGATCCGTTAAACAATCATGTTGTTCTTTGTGATCAAGATTTTTGA